GGCAACACCAGAAGAAAACCGAACTCAAACACAAACAACTAGAAACTAGCTCCCAACGAGAGAAAAAAAAACAACTAAAACACAATCACAAAACAAAAGGCTCCCAACAGGAGAATGCCTAGGTGTTGGCTCCCAACAGGAGAATAAAGGTAACACCCAGGTAAACAGGGGCCAACGGCCCAGACCAAAAACACAAAAACACAAAGACAAGAGGCACAAAACACTCACAACACAACACAATCTAAACAAACTAACTACAGACTAGAACTATTACGTCCCCCACAACAGTCGAATCCAGAAGTCAGCCGAACAAACCAAATCCGAAGCCAGCTTCAGAAAACCAAACCTCCGCCCACCACTGCATAGGCCTAGCAAGGCGAGTGCTCGGCAATCCAACAACTAACCAAGGGCTTAGCCCGCACTCCACACAATTGAAGGAACAACCGACCCCAGCCGAACCGACTCCGCCACAATACTACCAAGTAGTCCTGGGTAGCCTCAACCAAACCGGCCCGACAGCCGAAATAGAAGAAGAAAGGGCCGAAAGCCTACAATGCTAGGCATCGTCCAAGTGACCCAGCCAAGAGGGCCGTCAAGTCCGTCCAATCTTCGTAAGCAGCCAGCAGAGAATCGAGGAGATCTCAGCCGACCACCGAGAAGCCTCCACCTGTCGCAGCGAAAGAAACCGAGACAAAGCAGCAAAAGGGAGAAGCTTACCACCGTACGACGCTGCCGGTTGTCGGTGACGGAAGCTCGCCGTCCCAGTCGCAGCTTCACCGGTGCAGAAGGACAGAGCCACAGATGACGGGGAGAGGAGAGAGACCGAGGAGACAACAACTCAGCCCGGGACACCTCGACAAACCAAGCCACAACCAAGCGCGGCCACTGCGACTCGACCCACCGCAGCCGCCTCCAAACACGCCCTATTGACAAACCCACGAATCTGGAGCAGGGACCACGAAAGGGGACAAGCGCAGACCCGTCTTGAGTGAGCGGTGGATGCCGTCGACCGACGGCTCCAGACCGCCGTTAAGGGGGCGACGGCAATGCTCGAATTGGGCGACTAGGGTTGAGGGAATTTGGGAATTTGGGGCTGGAGAGAAGTAGAGTTGAGTCTTTACATTTTTAAAAATTTGATCATTAGGAAAGATAAATTAACGATTTTATTATTATGAACAATTGTTTATTATCATTAGGTAATAACAGTTTGATTATTATTATTATTATTATTATTATTATTATTATTATTATTATTATTATTATTAAAAAATAATTGTTTATAAGCTTCTAAAGTTGTTTGATTATGTTATTAAAACAATTTACTAATTGTATTCATGAGCTACAAAAAAAAAAGATAATATTGATGTTAAAATAAATAACTTGAAACAATTGTTTTTATATTTATTGTGAATTATTGTTAATTAGTATTAGCAATAACTATTATATGATATAATAGAAACATAGACAATTACACTCAATAGGATATATTAATGTGAGAAATAAAAAAAAAATATTAATGAAAAATTTTGTAACCGAAATGGAGGGAAAATTTTAGAGGTTATATTAAATAAGTTTTATTAAATGCTATATGCTATCAATTATATATATAGATACTATTTTTTCTTCAATAAAAAAAAGGCTAATTTTTATGTATACTGAACGAAACAAAAGTATTTGTAAAAATACATGGGTGTGGTATTGTATTGCATCCCCATAAAATTGGGTGGAAATAATTACAAATATGTTAAGATGCAGTTACCATATCTGAGAAGTTGTAACATATCCTTAATTTATGGGGTTCATGCCAAATTAAAAGAATAAAAAAACCCACATGTAAATCTTTCCTGATATTAAGGAAGGTGGTTCATTGGAAATAGGGAAGATAATAATTTTGAATTTCAACCGACTCTACAATTTTTTTTAACGAATCAGGTAGTTTTTTTAATTATTGTCGATCGATTCTTTTCTTATTGTCGATATATTTTTTGTATGTAGCACATATATGTTCTGATTAGTCTGTCTTTTTTGTAGATGGATACGCAATTGAAGATCTTCGTACATTACAATGGTGAATGAGTCATGAATGAGTACATAAACTTTCAAGTTTCGGGTGTACTAGTTCGTAGAAATTGTAGATTCGACGAACTATGTATATCATTCGTGCACATATACATAACATAATCATGTTATATACTACCTACAAAATAGGAAGTTGTTCGAAAGACATTACTTAAAATACACGATCAGACTTATATACAGAAGATATACACATTATATACACGACATACACAACATATATACAAAAAGATAAATCAATTTTGTCATTATATACATAACATATACAGAAAACACATTAGACTGTCAATTGTGGTTATGAGAACATACTGAAAAATATATTGTATATATACGTAACATATCCACAACATAATAAAATGAAACGAAAAATATTCTTAAAAAACTGGAGCTTCGGCCAGTTGATCTTCGATCCGACTCTTACCCGGTCATGAACTTCTCAGCCGCCACCCGCCACCACTACCCTACACCAACACCTCTTCAACCGACAAATAGTGGTTCTCCAGTCGCGGCGCTCGTCAGAAATCTGGTGGCTCAAGGTCACGGCTCGCTGCTTGTTGTCGGACGACGTGGTTGCCATGAAATTGGAGCTTCAGTCGTTGATGGCCCGGGTTTGCCTGGCCGTCACTAAGGTCAGCACTCAACCGTCGGCAACTGGTGGCTCGCCGCCGGATGCTCGGGGCTGATTTGCAGAGTTTTGAGAATTCCCCAATCGACGGTAGTGGCTGGTTTTAATATGAAAAAAATAGGGTTGCTGCTTGAGAGAGATGAGACCGATTTCATGGTGGAAGAGAGTGGGGGAGAATTATTTGGAAGGTGATAAGATCTCATCATTAATCACGCAGAATTTTGATTTAGGTATTTCTGCAAATAAATCTATAGATTTAGTCGATATGTTAATATTTATAAAGGGACTATTTATGTAATAAAAAATTGTATTTATGGTGCACAATGCAATTTCCTCAATAATTTACTAGTACAACACTCATGAGAGATTGTTAAGAAATTTATACTTATAATTGAAAAATAATGAAAAAAAAAAATTTGTTTCTAACTGTTTCAGCTCCCATTAATTACTTATAATTATTGGAGCAGTGCATATATGTTCAAAATATACAAACACATTAGATGATGATTTTATTTTGGGTATTTTTTTTTTTTAATTTGCGGTTAACCGAAATTGTACCAAATCGAACCAAAATTTTTGGTTCGGTTTTGGTTCGTTTTTTCTTCCAATTTCAGTGCGATTTTGGTTCGGTTTTTCTTTCAATTTCGGTACGATTTTGTTCGGTTTTCCTACCAATTTTTGATGTGATTCAGTTTGGATAAATGAACATCTTTGGTTTTCAATTTTTTGCCGTTCGGTGCAAATCAGGCATTGACCAAGGCCGCCATCAGGTCAACAACGAGCCACTGATCCAATTAATTAAATCATTATTTGAAGCAGTAATAATAATAATAATAACAAATCTTGCCTGGGTTTAATAATAATCAGATCGACACCAAGTCTGTATATCTTCATTTTCCTGTTTCTTCTCCTCAAGTCGGCCCCAGTTTCGAGGGTGCCGAGCGAGGGATTGATTTGCGTGGAACCGATCTGGTAGTCAGCCACTATCCTAGCATAATTTTCTTATGATTTCTCTTAAGCGTCGGGATAGGGGCATAAGCATATGATTTTCAATCCCCGGGTACTAAGCACGAACCCTGACTTTAGTATTTTGATTCTCGCGGACGATTTACTAGCTCCTTCAACATGATTAACTTCCAGGCCATCGTACTTGCCAACTCAGATATCAACAATAACATAGTCCAAACATGTGACTCAGCTTGAGTTGCACATTGGGTCACCGGATTCGAGTCGACCCAGCCAGTCCGATAAAACAATGGTTTTATCATTTGTGTTCGTTCAGTAACAAGTTGCCATACAGTGCAGTTTGATACCAATAGTTTCATTCTGTTCAAATAAGGTTTTCCCGGTGTAACTAGCAAAAACTCGAACTTACCTCATCAAGTATTTACTACAATTTCATACATAAACACAACTCGGGATAAAAAAATAAAAAAATAAAAAAAAAAAATCATACCAAATGAGCTCATGGAGTGATGGAGATTTCGTTGTTCTTTTCAAATTTTCTATTCTCCGACGAATACACTCGTGACTTTGGGAGTAAACAACCTGTTTCCAAGCCCAAATCCACTCTTCTTGTGACAAATAGTACTAAAGCACAATCAATGGACTAAGATTCCTCTAATAATGTTTTCAAATGTTGATTTAGTAGTATGCCCTCATCACGCTACTTTCATACTATCATGAATCATCGATAACGGGTGCCGAATAAATATCTACATCCAAGAATGACCCTCACTCTTAGTTTAGCAACAAGAAGTCAAATCCAAACAACAAAATTATCACAAATGCTTTGCAAGTCTCTCTTACCAAAACCACTAGAAGGGACTAAATATCTACATTCGAGAATGGCTCTCACTCTTCCTAGTAACATGAAGTCGAAATCCAACCATTAAAGTTATCGCAAATGCTTTGCAAGTCTCTCTAACCAAAACCATTTGAAGTGTCGAAATTGAACAATAATGCATACTCGTGCAGCTCGACTACAAAGTTAATGTACAAAGCAACCATATATATACTTTGGGCTTTTCCATTCTTCCTTTCTAACCAAAAATCTTATTCCACTACTTCATCAAAGTTCTCCAAGAATTTGTACCAAAGAAAACCATGATCATATTCATGGCAACAATCTCACCAATCAACAACTGAACTAACTCACAAACATTTAAAAAAAAAAAAAAAAATGAAACGTAAAGAATCAAATTGAATCATAACAATAAATATCAAAGCCAACAATACTAAACACCAAAAATTAAGTACCCACAAATCAAATTTTACCCGAACAATCCGCAAGAAGCTCTCATGGCACAAACTCGTTCTCGAGCATCGGCCTTGTCCGTGTCTCCATGGCTACGGGTGCCTTCGTGGGCCCCACGCTCGCCATCGGCAGCGGCACCCCGAATTCCGCCGCCTCCTCCATCCGCCCGATCGTTTTCCGGCGACTATACTTCCCCACATAACATAAAAGACTAACCAAAACAACCAAGAACAAAGCACCTCCAACCACAGAACCAACAATTATCCACACTCTCTTCCAATTAACCTCTCCGCCCTCCGCCATTCCGCCGCCTCCGCCGTCGGCGGAGGGGCCCGGAGCAGCCGCCGGTGCAAGCGCGGACCGCACCACAACCGAGAAATGCCCCTGATTGGAAACCAAGCAAGTGCCGTTCACGAAACGGTCGAAAACCACATTTCCATCCAAGCCAAAGTGCACGCACGTGGGCCTGAGATTAGGGCCCGGCCCGATACTGCGGAACCCGACAGAAATTGGATTCCCCGAGGCCCGAATGTCGAGCTCCGGCAGATCCACGGCGGACAAATCGGCGGCGTCGTACGCCAGGAGCCCCAAAACCGGCGCCAGGAAGGTGTATCCCGGCAAGGGGTAGTACAGTGAGGACCAATTGCCCAAATCGTGGTACACCAACACGAGTCTCTCGACGTACGGCTGCTCGATGACGCCGGCCGGGATGTCGAACTCCTTAAACCTGGCAAAACCTCTCCGCCGGAGGCTCCCGCTCCTCAGCCGCAGCGCCGCCACGCGGATTCCGGTGAGATCGGACGGCGCGGCGCCGTCGTAGACAATGCCGGTCCTCGGCCGGATAAAAGCCCTAAATACATAGCCTTGAAGGATGGAGTCGAGCTCCCTCGCCGGAAAGTGGATGCTACTCGGCGGCTGCTGCCCAAACGCCGCCACTTGAAAGCAGATGATTAGGCTGAGGTAAGCAAGGAGCATTTGGGCCCAAGAAGAATTGTTCAAAAAAAGCCCAAAAATAACAGTATTGAGATTTCTCTGGCCGCCATAGCCATACCCTTATTCTGAGGAAAATCTACACAAATAGATAAATGGATCGACGAGCAGCCATAGCAGGAGATTCGTGAGAGGAAAAGAATGGATTTTTCGAATCTGGAATTTAAGGAATGAAATTTATATACTCGTTTTGAAATTTTGAGGAGATTTTAAGATTTTTTTTTTTTTAAATTCCAATTTTTTTCTATCAATTGGAAATAAATTTTGGGAAAATGGTAGGCTCTCGTTACAAAACAATTCCGTCCGGTTTGTAACCGTGATAACAGTCGGGGATAATTGATCTAATGTTTTCAAATCCCGACGGAATGACTCAGTAACGGGACCGTATCATTTCCCTAAATTTTGTTAGGTTTTGTTATTTTTTATGGAACTAAAATAAACATTTTTAACATAAAAAAATCAACTAAATTCTAAAAGAGTTGATATTATCAAAAAAATTAAATTATATGAATCAATCATTACATACGATTTAAAATAAAATTACGAACTATTATATCATATATTTTTAATTAGCAAACATTTTTCATTATCATTTTACTATTTTTATATCAAAACAACTTTACATTTTAACTTATATAAAAAAAAATAAATAAATTATATAAGCTAACAAACTCAAAATTAAACACAAATTTTCACCCAATCAAATTTTTTTACACTTTATTCGCTTTTATTCAATAAACTAGATTCAATCCAAACGAATTACTTTTAAGAAAAAAAAAAGTTTTAAGATTTTTAGATTTAAAAATGAATCTATGGTAATACTGGAGATAAAATTTGTCGCGATGTTTCGGATACGGTTTTTGTTTTGAATTCTCAATTACAAAATTAGGGTGGGTTATTTTTTTAAAATAATATAAAAATCTATGGCAAAAAATAAAAAAAAAAATAATTGTGGAAAAAAATCAAACGGACGGATTCTG